TTCCTTCCTTCTCCTCCTCCTCTTCCTCCTCCTTTTTCTTCTCTTTCCCCTCTTCCTTTTTCTTCCTTCCTTCTTTCCTTCCTTCTCCTCCTCCTCTTCCTCCTCCTTTTTCTTCTCTTTCCCCTCTTCCTTTTTCTTCCTTCCTTCTTTCCTTCCTTCTCCTCCTCCTCTTCCTCCTCCTTTTTCTTCTCTTTCCCCTCTTCCTTTTTCTTCCTTCCTTCTTTCCTTCCTTTTCCTCCTCCTCTTCCTCCTCCTTTTTCTTCTCTTTCCCCTCTTCCTTTTTCTTCCTTCTTTCCTTCCTTTTCTTCTTCCTCTTTCTCCTTTTTCTTCTCTTTCCCCTCTTCCTTTTTCTTCCTTCTTTCCTTCCTTTTCTTCTCTCTCTTTCTCCTCCTTTTTCTTCTCTTTCCCCTCTTCCTTTTTCTTCCTTCCTTCTTTCCTTCCTTTTCCTCCTCCTCTTCCTCCTCTTACTTACTCTCCTTCCCCTCCACCTCCTCCTTCTCTTTCTCCTCCTTTTTCTTCCTTCCTTCATTCTTTCCTTCCTCCTCCTTTTTATTTTTCCTCTACTTCCCCTCTTCCTCCTTTTCTGTCCTCCTCCTTCTCTTTCTTTCTTTCTCTTTCTCCTCCTTTTCCTACTTTCCTCCTCCTCCTCTTCCTCCTTCTCCTCCTCCTCCTCCTTTTTTTCTTTTCTGTCCTCCATCCTTCTCTTTCTCCTCCTCCTTTTCCTTCTTTCCTTCTCCATCTTTTTCTTCTTTTCTCTCCTTCTCTATCTTTCTCTTTCTCCTTCTCTTTCTTCTTTCCTTCTCCTTCTCCACCTCCTTTTTCTTCTTTTCTGTCCTCTCCTTTCTCTTTCTCCCTTTCCTTCCTTCCTTCTCTCCCTCCCTCTCCTCCTCCTCCTCCTCCTCCTCCTGATAGTTATCATATGCTGTCAGTCTTTTAGGCCACAAATTAGTTCAGGAAACTTCTACTGTTGTTTTTACACACTTGAGTTATAGCAATTAACTTCTAACGTCTTGCAGATGGAAATAATTTGCTGCACCCATTTTCTCAGCACAGAGAAATTCTTCCCATGTTTGTTCAAAAATAGACACTGTCACACAAAAGCAGTTCAAAGATAAACCATTCCTAAGACTGCAATCTTGGTCTGGTCCGAGCATATCTTGGTTTCAAAGCAGGGCAGAATCATTCTGCATCCATATTCATGGCATTACGGTTTCTTTCCATTCCGTTTCACCGTGTGATTTTTCAGACAACACACTTAAATAGCTGGGATTGTTGATCTTAACGGCGTTTCTAATGATTGGATTGTTTTGGGAGCTGATTGAATTCCGTGCAATCTTCAGGAGATCCGTTGTTTTTTTTTAAAGTACAGCTTCTCCTTACTAAACCTGTCTAGGATTGCAACCTTGCTTTTAAACTGGGTATTGTGCCCGGCCAGTGGAGCTGGCAGCAGATTCAGACAGTGAGGAGGTTGGGGAGGAANAAAAAAATGAAATCGAGTTTGACACCCCTGATCTACAGGATCGGGGGAAAAGATCGAATTTCCTTTAGAAGAACCAACAAGAGATCGACATTAAGGTTTGAGCGGGCGTGAACAAGAGCTAAAACCTTGGGGAGCTGAAAATTGATCGTTTCCCCTCCCCCATCACCGCAAACCCACGATCCCCAGACTTTTGACTTCAAAAGATGAATGATGCCTTCTTAAGGTCACACATGGCACAAATTATGAGCCGGGTTGATTAATTGCTGTAATTTACCTATAGACGTAATTAACAAGATCTAAGAACTGAGCATTTAACTCAAGGTCCTCGGGAAAACGTTTTTCAATGTAGGTCATCATTTTTACCAGCAGAATGGACTTCTCGCGCAGGGTTGGAATCTGTGTAGGGAAAAAGGAGTTTAAAAATATGTTCATTCCCCCCCCCCCGTTTCGATTCCCAAAGAGGGCAAAAGAACAGCTGTCGGTAGACTTAGTTCACTCCTGAAATACCCGGTTTCCCTGTAAATAAGACCTCCCCGGATAATGAGCCCAATTGGGCTTTTGAGCGCATGCACTAAAATAAGCCCTCCCAAAATTAAGCTCTCCCCTGAAAATATTGCAACACAGCGGCAGCCATGAGATGACCACGCGCACCGCTTCCTGCACCTCAAAAATCATAAGACCTCCCCGAAAATAAAGCCAAGCGCTTATTTCAGGGGGGAGAAAATAAGACCCTGTCTTATTTTGGGGAAAATCTGGTCATCTCTTAGCAAAATGCACAGGTAATCCTCACGTTACGATTGCAATTGGGACCAGAAATTTCCCCTCTGTGGCTGAGTGAGTTTTGCCCCGTTTTATGACCATTTTGGCTCGTGGTTAAGCAAATAACTGCTTAATGTTGACTTTGGGGGAAGAGGGGAGACATCAGAATTTGGGGACCAAGTTGCAAGTACTTCTGGGGAAGTCTTTCATCACTTTTAACAATCGGTAAGACATCGGTCATTAGTCAAGGACTACCTATATCAATGCTGGCTTCCTTGGCTAAGGAGGGACTAGAACTCACTATTTCTGGTGATTTGCTCAAAGTCACCCAGTTGGCTTTCTTGGTTAAGGTGAACTAGAATTCTCAGTGTCCTGGTGATTAGCCTAAAGTCACCCAGCTGNCCTTTTGTCGGTGAACCCCCTTTCCCCACCCCCAGGAGCACTCTATAAGCTTCCGAAAGGCTATCCATGCCCTATTTTTTAACAAAAAAAGGGCCCGTTTTCCCCTAAAAAACGGACCATTTTTTGCTCATCCCCCCCCCCCACAACACCCAGGAGCACTCTGCAAGTCTCCTAAACGCTATTCATACCATTTTTGGGGGGGGGGGAGAACGGGCTCGTTTTCAGGAAAAACAGGCCGTTTTTGAGAGGTTTGCAGAGTGCAAAACTTTTTTTAAAAAAATTTGCCTCTTCAAAACCTTGGTGCATCTTATACTCCGGTGTGTCTTATACTCCGAAAAATAAGGTAAGTAAAACAGCAAGGGGGGGGGGGGAGCAGCTGTGCCGCGTGAGTTAAGATTTGCCAGAAAGCAGGATTTTCTGCTTTCTAGGGAATAGAAATCACGCAGCATATATGATTGTCCCACAGCCTATCGTTGGAACTTTTTTTTTTTTTTACTAATTTTAAGCCTTTTTTTTTTTACTACCAGTTCGGTTTCATTGATATTGAAACACGTTGACTTAAAACCTGTATTGTCCTTGTTGGGTATCTTATTAGGGAAATATAGTAAAGAAAATGTATATTTAATTATTCATGTAATAACTGTGGCTAGAATTCGATTTGCACAAAATTAGAAAAGCTGAAGAAATCTCTAAAGATGAAAACGTGATGAAGAAAATATTAAGACTGTGCAGAAATGAGTAGCAATTAAAGGAAAGGAAGAATCGGATTAATTATAATATAAGGGGGCTATTTTATCATTGGTTAGAAAATGAATATGGATTAAAAAATATATAAAGTTAACTGATTTCAGAAGATAAATGTTATAACGGGAGATACGTTAAATTGTAATGTTAAAATAAAAACAGATGTAGATAAAGAATTTGGCGGTAAGCTACAACTATTGCAAAAACTATTTGTAATTTTCTTTTTTAAAAAAAANAGCATAATGAAATAAGAGAAAGTGTGGCAGGCCAAAGATCCTAACAGGAATATAATTGCAGGCCTGACAGACTGGCCCATAGATTTCCACTGTTCTCCTCTCCTCTGCCTTCTGTGCATCCATGCGTCGGGCACTAGACCCAGCTGTTCCTCCTCTTCCTCATCAGCCACCTCCAGACCTGTGGGCTGCTGACTCTCCATCTGAAGGTTGATGGACGGCCCAGGCTCTGCCTCTGTCTCTCTCTCCCCCGACAGCTCCATTCCCTCGTCCCCCTCGGAGCTCTCAGGTTGCCTCAGTTCTGACCCTGATTCCCACGCCTCCTCCTCCGAGTCAGCTGCTGGAGAGGCGGTGTATTACAACGGAACTGTAAAATGGGATTCAAAGCTTCTGGAGGAACAGCAAAATAGAAATACTTAATGTGAATAAATGAGCTTGAAAGGGTGTTCCAGAAGCTAGGATTCTTTGGCAAAAGAAGCTAAACGTTTTCTCACCAGGATTTTAGATCAGGTTGTTTCTTAAATGCAACGTTGATTTGCAGGATCAACTACTAGGCAAATGGATGGTTAGGAAGCAGCACAGAAATGAAACTGACATGATGTACGAGTTTCCCGCACAATTCATTCTTCAGGCTGGTCACGTAGTAACTGTGAGTGTCAATTTTAATAGTCCTCTTACTTTCTTGGTGGGGGGAGGACTTAAAATTGCTTTATTTTGCTTCTCATCGGTAAGCCTGCTTGAATAACTATACACATTCTCTTTCACATCGGTCATAAGCCATTTAAAACTGGGTTTAACTTACGTACCAATATTTCTTTACAGATCTGGGCGAAAAGTCTGGGTTTAAAACCAAGTCCTAGCACCCTAATTTGGGAATCCCAAAGGGCATGTAGACTTGGAGAGACCCTGGGTATTGTTCTCCTCGACGGTGATGGGAACGTAAGTACCAAATTGACTTTACCCAATTATTGCTCAGAAAGCCAGTTTAGCTTGATGGTTTAAGGTGCCAGCCTAGAAACCAGGTGACTTATGAGTTGTGGTTTCTAATTTAGACACTTGGGTCAGTCACTCACTCTCAGGCTAAGAAGAAGAACACAAAACCGTTGCAAAGAAAACTCTATGGGTTTATCCAGGCAGTTGCCGGGAGTGAAGACTAACTTGAAGACACAAAAATATATTTTTTACAAAAATTAATCAACATCTGCATTCAGATGCTGCATTCAAAACTGCATTCAGTTTTGGTCGCCACAATATAAAAAAGATGTTGAGACTCTAGAAAGAGTTCAGAGAAGAGCAACAATGATGATTAGGGGACTGGAGGCTAAAACATATGAAGAACGGTTGCAGGAACTGGGTATGTCTAGTTTGATGAAAATAAGGACTAGGGGAGACATGATAGCAATCTTCCAATATCTCAGGGGTTGCCACAAAGAAGAGGGAGTCAAGCTATTCTCCAAAGCACCTGAGGGCAGGACAAGGAGCAATGGGTGGAAACTAATCAAGGAGCAACTTAAAACTAAGGAGAAATTTCCTGACAGTTAGAACAAATTAATCAGTGGAACAGCTTCCTCCAGAAGTTGTGAATGCTCCAACACTGGAA